TTGTAAAAAAGTTTAATTGGATTTTAATAAAGATAGAGGCATGGCCTCACCTTTGAAGATTAAAAAAAAAAAAAAAATATGCTACAAAAAATAATAACAAAAATTCTAAATAATGATTAATAAATATGAAAATTACAATACTGTTTTAATGCTTTTTTTATAATTTTTTTTAAAAAAAAAATTTTATACAGTAGTAATATACTTTTTTATTACAATTACTATTACAATCACTATTAACATTCAAAAAAAAACAAAAAAAACTATTACAATCACTATTATAATTATACTGTAATTATAATTAGATAATATTGTTTTAGAATAGATCGCAGACATAAGATCAAATAATATAGCATGATGTAATAGTGATATACTAACGTGACATATCGATGACCTTCTAATGTAGCTATAGATTTTACCAAAATAAAGTATACGTGACATGTGCTTTGATGATATTAACGCACTAATATTAACACAGTAATTTAACACACTAAAAAAGCTCATTCATAATGGTAAAACGTAAATTTGCCGAATTTGTATTTGTGCTCCAGTTTAAATAATTATTCTAATCCATTTATAACGAAAAAATGGGTTAAAAATGATATTTCTCGTATCATGAAATTGATCACGTTTTATATAAATTATTTCTAGGCTCTTGCTCTTCCTTATAGTACTCTAATAGAGCTCTGGTCTAGGGCTCACACAAGAGATGAAGTCTTAAAAAAGTTTAGTAAATTTTATACCTTTGTGCTGTTTTGTTAACAATAATAATTGACTTAATATAGATTCAAAGAAAAAGGTTGATTTTTTAAATTTTTGTTTTTGGATTTTTTACCGCCTAGATGAATTTAAAATTAGACCTACTACAGTATTTTATGTTTCGCTAAGTCAATCATTTACCACTAAATTTAACCTTTAATGATTTTTCCGGTATTTTACTACTCTGAAACAGGGATGATAAATACCTTCAAATGACCTTCAAATGACCTCAAATGACCCCAATTTTATTATGAATTTTAGTCCGAAATGGCCTAGGTCATTTGAAAAAAAGGCAAATGACCTCTAATTTTACCATCCCTGTTTTGAAAAGGCTCGGTCATATTTTATGAAACATAAATTTACTGAATTCGTATTTTACTCTTATTTGATTATTAGGCTATGCAAAATTAATTCATTGGTTTTCGTAACCCGGCCGGGTCAAAATTTTAAGCGGGTGGGTTTTAAAAGAAATTTTAAAAAAATTTTTATAAAACTTTTATATATGAAATTTAAAAAAAAAAAAAAAAAAACCCCCGGCCGGCCGGGTCTGCTTAAAAGTTTCATGTTATGAAAACCAAGACATTAAATTTGTGGCCTTATATTTGTTGTAAGCGGGAATGGAACCATAATAGGGTTCGGAATCCACTTAGATTAGAACGGAATAATTATACTAAAAATACCAACCCTAACCTTAAAAATTCCGAATCAACTTTAGTCCTATTCCCACCTACGACATATTTCATGCTTTCTAATAAAATGCGTAAAGTGAAAATTCTTGATTCTTTGTGCTTTTCATTTAATACTTATAAAGATTGACAACATACAGAAATTTTAATACGTACGTACGTACATATCATTTTCATCGACAAGCACTTCACCGAGCACCCTATCACACAGCGTAAAGAGTAATATTGAACAAATTAATTATCAAACAATCATTAAATATTAATCATCGCTCTGTAATAATCAGTATTGCATTTATTTTCTTAACGTCTTGCATGTAAAATTAAAAGTAATTTAAATTTCTCTACGAAAAAAAAAAATTTCGATTAACGCATTGTAACCCTCACAAAATATGATTCACTAGTTTTGGTGTAGGATACGTTAGTTAAACATTACAGGCATTACGGCGCATTTTTACACTACCCTAAATTTATGACGCAGCATATAACGCGTTACACGAATTTGAAAAATCCCTGACTGATCTACGTCACGAGAATGGTGTACAAAGCGTGAGTTAAATTATTTGTCCATAATTAGGCATGATATTTTGTCAACGTGTGTATATTTTAAAATAAATTTTATAGCATGGGTTTTAAGGTGGGGAGATGAGATAACTATATTAGTTTTATTCGATTTGGGGTTCGTTTTACTGTAGTATATGCATCACAATAATTCAATAGTAATTGTAGTAATTCGGGGGTTCTTAATTCCAAAAAGTCGCAGCAATGGATTGATAAATGCCATGCTTACCTAGTTAAACGAAAGGAAATATATAATATAAAATGTATAAAGTAATGCATATATACAGTGTTAAAATATATTATAATAAAATTTTATATTGATATTGATCCCTGGTTTGAGTAAAATTCCGACAAAAATTAAGGCCAATGTTAATCTATTGTGGACTAAGTTGGCAGAATTTTGATCAGTTCCTAGGGTCTTATGAGTCTTATGCCCCATGCTATACTAATACCGTTATGTTCGTTATTCTTAAGAGCGCTTAGTGTAATTCAGATTCACATATGTACATAATATCGCACTTATGAAAATGTGCATTTACAGAGGGTTGAAAAGATTTACAAACGCAAGACTAATTTCACTATATTTCTAATTATCTAATTATATAACTATATACATATATCGATATACCAAAGTGTTGGATTATACAGATTGCCAAACGATTACGTAGTTACGCATAAAAAGAAAAGTATACATAATTACATAATCGAATGACTAATACTTTATCACGGGAACAATTTATATAAACTATTGGAATTTTTCACATGACCTATTATGGAAGATTGGAATATTTCCGATTCCACGTACGTACGTACGTACGTACGTATAAACATTAGATCTTTCATTGCTATATAGGAAGGCTTAAATATCCGAAAAATTCAATGATACGACTCATCGTCATGTTTACTACTGTTCATAAAAATGCAAGTCAAATAAATAATGATGCACTTCATAAATACACGAAGTACAGTAAATTGATTCGTGTAAACTTTTACCCAAGGACTTTAACAGGCTAGCATGATTTGTTGTAAAATGAATCCGTTTTGGAATTTTCATTCGACACAGATATAAGATAGTCGGAACATCCGACCAAATATGATTTGTTCGTCTTAATATAAATAAAATTTCCATTATATAAAAGACAGCATTAAAAAACATTTGTTGATGGTAAATTTAAACACATTCAAATTTGCTTAAAAATAATCGTCATTTACTAAGCATATCATTAATCAATACATAAATATAACGTATGTTTAATAGTTACGATATTTAATTAATAATTATAAAAATCGATATCAATTATAAATTATATTATAATTTATTACATCAATTATACCAATTGCACATTTTATCTATTATAATCGATTACGATTATGTTAAACGAAGAGTCTAATAGTATTAAACGGCGTAGGGTGGCCAGAGCTTGTGACTCTTGTAGAAGAAAAAAAGTTCGATGTGATGGTGTTCAGGCTGGTTCCGATCCTCCATCTTGTTCTAATTGTAGGACTTACGGTTATGAATGGTATGGTATATATTGCTATACTCTTTTTTATCATTCTAATTATTCTATCACTTTGATCTGATTATTATTTCTTTAATAGCTCTTTTATTGATGCTCCAAAAAAGCGTGGTCCTCCAAAAGGTTATATAGAAGCATTAGAAACAAGACTCCAAAGAATGGAATCTGTCCTTGGAAATTTGGTTCAATCCGGTGATTTGTCCGAAAATACAATTAATTCAAATCTTGAGTGGATCAACGTGAATGAAAATAACTTTCGATCGTCTCAAAGTTTTGCTGTTAAAGGTCTTTCCTCAAAAAAACCTTATGATTTTTCGATTTCTCGTACTTTGCCACCTTCAAATTCAAAAACTTCCGCAAGTCCTGTGAAGCATAATAAATCTCTTCGTGATCATGACTGCGATACTGATGATGTTTTATCGAGTGATGACCCTACTTGTGATTTAACTGATAAATTAGGTCAACTTACAATTGACGATGAAGGTCATACAAGATATTTCGGTTATAGTTCTGGATATTTCTCTTATATAAAAATTTTTAGAGTAACTTCTGATGCTGAATTTCTGCATATTCCTAATTATAATATCCGATTTTCTTCTGTAAAATACGCTACTCAAAAGGCGATATCGGAACTTCCTCCGAAAGAATTATGCAATCAACTATTAGATGTTTTCTGGACATATGTTCATCCTTACCATATTTTCATTGACAAGTTGGATTTTATGGAAAAATATAATAACTTGGAAAACAATTTTACCACGATTATCCTTCTCTATGCTATGTTCGCGATCGCTTCCCGGATACTTGACATTCCAGATGTTCATCAGAATCCCAATGATCCATCTAGTGTTGGTATGTTTGTCCTTTTTTTTTTTTTTAAATTGTCAACTTATGTGTTGATACATATTTTATTGCATTCTATATAATATAAAAGGCAGGGAATATTTCGATCGTGCAAGAGAATTGCTTAAAAATGAATTCGATAATGTATCAATAACGAACATTCAAGCACTTCTATTATTAAGTGCGTATCATAGAAGTGCGACGGATTCAGTTACTTGGTTATATAGTGGAATGGCCATTCGTACAGCCCAAGAGATGGGACTACATCGTAATCCGGCAAAATGGAGTTTTAGTGCAAGACAAATAGAAATTAGAAAACGCTTATGGTGGTCTTGTGTTTTGACTGACATATATACGAGTGCTTCTTTAGGTCGTGTATGTAAAAAAAAAAAAAAAAAAAATTAAATAAATAAAAAATAAATAAACTTATATTATTTGTTGTGTTTTATTTAGATAATTTAATAATGCAAAAAAATTTTTATTATTTATATTCTTTAATAGCCACTTACTCTTTGTGAGATTGATTGCGACGTTGACTACCCTACTCCTGGTATATTCCCTGAAGAGCCACGACAATATGTTGAAAAATGGATCGAAGGGATAAAGATAATGTTAATACTTGGACGTGTGGTCACCCATGTTTACAGTATAAAGTCTAGACAAACCTTGGATGCCAATAATGATGCTGTATTATCTTCATTGGATGCTGAGTTAAACGAATGGCGTGAAAATCTTCCATCTGATCTTCAATACGATTCAGCTGCTCCATATAATATGATTGACAGTCGACAGTTGCTCATTCATGTTTTGTATTATACATGTCAAATTCTCTTGCATCGTCCTTATATTCGTGGTCCAAAATCAAAAGCAATTTCATCTCTAACTAAATGTACCATGGCCGCAAATAACGTTACACATATCTCACACCGTTTGATGAAAATGGGGCTACTTAAATCTTCATGGACTTATTTAATTTATCCTTTTCTCACGGCTTCTGTTATGCACATTATTAATATTCTTAGCGATGATGATCGATTCAAAGAAGTTGCAAAGCATGGCATTAGAATGACTTTGAGTTGTTTAAATCATACAAAACATATTTGGCAAAAAGCTGAAAAATGTGGTCGTTTAATTATAGGCTTATTGAGGGCTAAAAACATTTATATTGATGGTATTGATGATTTTTTAGATAATAGTGGAACGGAAAGAACTCCTTCTGACGGCCAATATTCAAGGTTTAAAGATAAGGATCTTACTGAGTCCGATAAGTCATATACTACCTTTTCTCCGTCTCAGGTACCATCGCAATTGGAAGGAATACCTGCCTCAATTCAAACTGCAATGAAAAATCAGCATATCGTTAACCAACCTACTTCGACTGTTGGTGGTGTCAAAGATTGCAATAATTCGCCTTTGTCGTCTTTAACGAGTTATGATCGAATTTCTTCGCCAGAATCCACTTCTAACTCAAGATTTATGCGATTGAATGATTTTTCCATGAACGTAAATAATGTAAATAATGGATTATTTTCTCAGAATGCTGATTCTTTCGCTTCGGATGTGTCACCACTTTTATTTGGCGATAATGATGATTCGGTTAGTGAAAATAATTCTTTCTTACCATTTCCTTCTACAAATGATTTAAATGAATGGACTAATTGGACGAAATACATGATAAGATTACAAACGTTAAAATCATCTGATAATAATAATACTAATAATGCAATTCCAGATATTTTGACATCCTCAGATAGTAATACAAGTACATCATCTGCAAGAAGTATGTTTGCTTCAATGACTAGTCCTCCAAATAGAGCGGATTATAATAAGTGATGATAGTTATTATTTTATTGTAAATGTTTTGGTGTAGTAAATAAATATTTATTTGAATCAAGTAGTATTAACTTACATAACTTATTAAAAAAAAAAAACTTAACATACGAATCAGACGAAACAACACATGTAAACTGAAATACATACATGTTTATTGTATATAGATCTATATATTTTATTTATTACACTGTAATATTATTTTTTAGAAATTTTTATATTAATATTTTTGCTTATAAATTTATATTATAAACTTAAAAACATATTTTTTATATAAACAATTCTACTTAATAAAAATTTTATTAAAACTATTGTATTTACTGTCAATTATTTTACTAAACTCAGGGCTTATTAAACAAATAAAAAAAAGTCCAGTTCAAAAAATGTATTTAATGTTTAAACCAAACTTTATAATAAAAATTTAAAAATTTAAAATTCAATTTAGACAGAATTTATCTCAAGTGTTCGGTTTTGTTTAAAGAGAATCGACTGTATTATTCTTTAAAATTAAATACAGTATTAGTCAATTTTATTGATTAAAAAATTTTTTGTAAAAGAAAAGGTGTACTATACACCGTGTACCCTATCGTTATTATATAATGTATAAAGTCGATTATCAGATTTGTTTGTTTTTTAACTTGCTAACAATCTAATGTTTTTTTATGGCCTTTAGTTTTTGAATTATTTTAGAAAAGTTAAAATGTTTTGACAGGGTGAGATTTGAAGGTATTACGAATAGTTGTGGTGTATGATTAAGTAGTGGTGTATACTACAAAATCGCATAAAACTATATAGCATACTATACTCAACATATAATTATAATACGACAGGGTGAAACCCGCGTCGGAGGTGGTTACGTTATTGATGCACATCACTACCTAAATGACATCTAACTCTAATTAAAAATAGATCTGCATCAAGAAAGTAACCTAAAAAACGCGAGTTTCTTTTCGTTCTACAAAATCAACGCGTCCCATTATAATATATGTTTAAATTAATTATGTGACCTTATGAGGATCGGCACTTAAGGATTGCTAATACGTAGCAAAATTTTTAATATTTGAAACTTCGAAAATCTATCTAAAAAGAGATGTTTTTTTAGTTGGGATGTATTATGACGTACTATGCATATCGATATCCATACCCATACGTATTGCGTTAAGATATCCTTTTTTATATTTGGTATTTTGCTGAATCTTCCTGCAACTGCCCCAAAGAGGAAAAAGAGAAAAAAGCATAATAACTACACCATAATACACTAGGGTGTCCCATATCAGTCTAATTACAAATATAGTGCAGGTTACATAGTGATGATCACTAATAAAGATTTTTTTTAATAAAATTTTTCGGATCTGCACTCTATATTAAACGATTATAAAAAAATAGACTTTACTTCGCCTTTAATTCCTCCTGTAATATTTAACATTTTTTAATTCTGTAAAAGCAAAACATTTAATAAAAGGTGCCTTTATATCGTAACAACGTTAGATTTTTTATTTTATTAATCTAAACATTTTCAATTCAAGTTGAACTATTTTTACCTGAAAAACTTATAAATCGTGTGCAAAAACGATAGCGATAAAATATATGAAATACAAAAAGGTTTATTCTATTCGTTGATTTCATTTCGAACCAACTTATCATGCATAGGGAAGCTTTAACTGATTTCTCAACAGTGGTAAAGTTGATAGCACGCAAGAACCACAAGTGCAAAGTGGATCACGGGTTACCACCACACAAAATGTTGTACAAGATAACGATAAGATGAACAATATAGATGAGTAAAACTATGAAAATTTTATACACTCATTTTTTTATTCTATAATTTCTTTTTCGAACCAATTTTTTAAACTTAATAAAATACCAGCCATTTCTGTAGGAAGATCAAACCCAGTAAGCTCAGTGGTATTTAAAGTAGGAAAAGCATGTTTGCATGACATGCTTGTAACCTGTAAAGATAAATAATTTGCCGCTATACGTGCTACAGTTGGAAAACGGTAGGCATTTGCTCTCCACCATAGTAACGGATCCGCATCCGGCTCCTGTGGCAGAGAAAGGTAATCTTCTAACTCATCTTCCCCTGTCTTGATCTTATCACTTCCACTTTCATTTACTTATACAAGTTTTCGAAATACTTTTAATGGATCTTTGAGTTTGGTAGTTGTTTTATTTTTATCCGTCTTACTTAATGAGTAAAGGGTTTTTAACTCATTAATAGCTATTCTACGGTCAGTTGTATCAAATATTTCGAATTTTGTAGATGGATTGGGGAGTGTAGGAATGGCAAAGAATTCCTTAAGATAAGTCCAATACTCTCTTAGTTTATGTTTCATTTCTGTGGCTGCTTCACGATGTGTGTCAATAAAAAGATACTGATTAAGGTGCATTGAAAGTCCTTGGATAATTAATCGCAATGATCCATGGGAAGGGTGTGAAGTATTCAAAAAAAATATAGCTGCTGTGTTAAATGGTTCAAGAAGTTGTAGAATTTCTTTTATGATTATCCACTCTTCGGCTTCCAGGTAATCATTTTTTAAACTTGGTTGAGATAACATGAGGCCGTCAGTAGCAGCTTGAATTTTACTAAGACTCTCAAGCATTGAATAGGTAGAAATCTCAATGTCAACCACCGGGTAAAAAAAAGTATTGCTTAAAATATTTGAAATTCTCTTCAATTCCTCCAAGATTAAAGGTGAACTTATTTTTTTACAAAAATTACGAGCTTTTTGAATTAGGTTAAGATAATGTTTTTGACCTGCCTGAACTATAAGGTCAATGATGCTTGCCGCACAACACACATACTTAAGGTTAGAGTTTATGGATCTTTGGAAGAAGCGTTGATACATTTGATTTTCTGCATTGTAATTAGTAAATCCGATTAACTGTTCCTTTATTCCTATTTCTTTAACAACATTAAGAACCTTCTCACGAATATATTCATCAGTATAGTTTTCTTGCAAAAGAATAAGATCGAGGATAAGAATTTTCCTTGTCTATTCATTATCAATCCAATGAACTGTAAGGGCAAGAAAAGGTTTGGCACATACTGTCCAGATGTTTAAAGTTAGCGTCAATTTATTTTTACTTTTTTTTAAAGTTTCTTTAATTTTTGCTCTTGCGGAATTAAATTGTTCTTTTATATTTAAAGAGAGAGTGTGGCAACAAAGAAGCTTATAATGTGGGTCAAGTTTGGAGACAAATCTTTTAAACGAATCTTCTTCAACTAGTATAAATGGTAGCTGGCTAATAACGATCAACTGCAACAAATCGTGATTCAAAGAATCTATGTGTTGTTGTTCAATAGTTAAATAAGATTTTTTGCTAGTTTGCAAAAAATCTTTTTCTCGTATATTGGTATATATTTTACAAAACTTGAGTATTTCGAGACCATAATCAGTATTCTGAAGAGATTCAAATTTTCACTTTTTTGATCATTCTTTGGAGTTATTAATAAGTTTTTCAGTTTTTTTAAAGCATTGAGCATCCTCTGAAGAAGACTCAGAAGAGGAATCGATAACTACGTAGGGTGTTGTAGACATAATAAGTGCAATTTCGAAGATAATATTGATAGATAACTAAATCTAATGAACGATAAGGAAAGGTACTGGCTTTATATAATTCTTAAGGTAGTAACAATTAATAGTATGAATACTTTTATGCATTCAGGTTAGAATATGCAAAGATAAAAATTTTCAAGTATTATATTTTTAAATGGTATGTTTAATAATTTTGATTAAGATGTATAATATTTAACTTAATTAACAATAACACATTATATATATCCTGTTTATAACAAATTAGGCGTTCAAACGTTATTCTGAATCGTGTAATTTTGAACCTTTGACGCACTAAAAAAGGCAAAGCAGCTGTTAGAAATCGAAAAAAGATTTTTGTTTATTAAAATAAAATTCGCACTGCAAGGTATTCACTTATATTTGTATTGCAATTCTTATTTACTTTAATTGACAATCATACGAATTTTATATCTTATTATTTTGATTTGAACTGTTATTAGCTAACAATACTATTTAGAATTAGTATTAGAATTACACATTCGAATACGACCAATATGCTATTTAAGTGGTTCGTCTTGTTGAAATAAATATGGGAAGTAGAAATGCACTTGATGTATCTGTTTAAAGCTGTTATCAGACTAACAATGTTAAATTAATTGTCTTTTCAGAATTATTCCTGGAGTTTACAGGTTTATACTTTGAATACGGCAGTATACTATTTTGAGTGGTTCTTATTGATATATGGATGCGCCAGTTTACTACTTTAGTAGTTCATTTTGTCAATATAAATATAGTAAGTATAGATATGTTTTAAGAGTTTTGATCGATCAATATTATTTAGATGCGCGTAATTGTGCTAATAATGCTAATTATTTTATTTTTAGTAATTCGGTATTTGCACTTTTGAGTACGGCTACATATTTTCAGTAGATTTTCTTGTTGATATAAATATGGAAAGTGTAAACATATCAATTGAAAATATATTTGGTTAAAATTATTTAAAGTTTTTTGTATTACATTAAGAAAGTT